CACCCACCACTGCAGCATCTGCAACAGGTAGGGCTCCCTCCCTCTGCCCACCACAGTACTCAGGGCAGCCTCCGGGACCCCTCTCCTTGCCCCCCGCCACGCTGCAAGACCAGGGCCCATTCCCCTCCCCTCTGCTCTGCTGGCTTCTTGCCTCGTCTCTAGCAAAGCACGCAGGGCTGGAGGGTCTGCCTGCCCCCTCCCAAACACGGTGCTTGTGCTGGCACTCACACTGGTGCTGCTCTCCTCCCTCCCAGGTGCGTGCTGAAGATGGACCACCACTGCCGTATCCTTCTGCAGTACTAACTCACAGCACCCACCCTCCAGGGAGGAGCTGGCCCTGCTTCCCTCTTCTCTCCCTGCCCTATTTCTCCCGAGTCAGCCAGCACAGGGAAGGGTGCTGTGGGCCGGGCCCAGAAGAACCGGCCTGGTTCCTGGGGTGGGTTTGGACCCATGACCCATCACGGTTACACACCTTTAACCCCAGAGGCAGCCTGGCTAAACAACTGCGTGGGACACTACAACCACCGCTACTTCTTCTCCTTCTGCTTGTTCATGACCATGGGCTGCATCTACTGCAGCATCAGCGGCTGGGAGATGTTCCGGGACGCCTACGCAGCCATCGAGGTGAGCAGGCAGGCCCTGGCCCTTGCCCTGCCGTGCACTGAGGCTGCCTGGGCTCCCCAGGCTGCGCTTGCAGAACAAGGCTGGGCCAGGCCTGGCCTCGTAGTGACTTTGCTTCCCCTCTCCCTTCCCCCTTCTCACTGCCCTGGTCCTGTGGGGGGGTGAGGGGGAAGGGCCCCCTCCTCTGAGACACGTAACTGGTGCCCTGTTTTCCATCCCCCTAGAGAATGAAACTGCTTGACAAGGAGAGACTGCAGGTGGCTGCCAACCAGGTGGGACATCCCTGCCCCCCAGCTGCTCCAGGCAGTGTGGAGCAGAGCTGCCCTGCAGGCTGGGTCCTGCTTGGGGCCCTGCTCTCAAGGAGCACCCCACAGCCAGAAACAGCCCCATGCTCGTCTCTTGTGTCAGAGCTGGGGCTGGCTGGGCAGGTCTGCTACGGTCACTGCCTCCAGCAGCTTGGGGTCTGCTTCGCTGTGCACTCAGCTTCCAGGAGCTTTAGCTGGTGGCAGCTGCTTGGCATGTGCTGCTCAGGCCCTGCTCTCCTGGGGAAGCTGCAGCAGCACGTACACATCTCGCCCTGAGCATCAGCTGCGGTGTGGTGTGGTGTCCTGACCACGGCTGCTCCCCGCCCCCTTACCTCCAGCCCACTGCTTCTCACCTGTGTGCCGGCTCTCAGGTGTCTGTCTGTCTCCTGCCTCCCCATCACCCTGGCTGTTGTGTCGGTTCTTAGCACCCAGCTTTCTTACAGCACGCTG